AATTAAGAATTGACAATATAAACTTAGCAACCAATTTTTCGATTTGTTAACATTACAGCCTTTACTCAATGCTAAATCTCACCGTCAAATTGGGCATCATCACCTTGTCGGAGATAATGGTATGGTAAAGAAGACTCGTAAAATTGCTGGACATGAAAATAAAAATCATTTTGTTCTTTTTGCCGATGTCAAAACATGTATTTTTTTGCAAAAGGCAATTTGCAAACAATTGCCACTAATATGTTAAACAAAGCATATACTCAAGCCTGATAAAGTTTGGCGATATTTCGAGTAAGTTTTTGTTGGAGTTAGTGCTTATCTAACTTATAATCACTCCAGAATTATTACAATTGGAGCGATAACTACTCGAAATGTGGCTGATATAAAGTTTAAAGTCAAGGGAAATGATATTAATATGCCGGAATATTACAAAATATATTATCAGGATATTGAAATAAGGCCGGATATGCCTGCAGTGCGCTATCTAATGAGTGAAGAATTCTTCCCGCTTCAATGTATCATATACTGCCATTTCAACATGTATCTTTGGATAAAATGGGATTAAATGACATTTCACCTGCCTCTACTAATACCAAAGTCACGGCAAGAGATAATTGATAAGAATATTAAATTAATTGGAATTTATCACATCAAATTTTTGAAAAGTTTTGGAGTAAAACTTTGTGGAAGCCAAAATACTGTTAGTATTGGTATGCGTAACTTCCTGCAATTCAAAATGGTCCATTTTTTGAATTTCTGGATAAAATTTCATGGATTGTAGCTTATAATAGAGTTCATTTGCCAGATATTAGAAAATTTGTTGAAACAATTATTGTGAAGGTTAGAAATATGGACTCATTCTACCTGTACCTGTATATCAAGAAGTGAAAGTTGATCAGATCAAATCATTCCTTCAAGAATGTAGAAATAATAAAATAAATATTTTATTTATTTTATATTTAATTTAAATTTATTTAATTTATTTATTATTTATTATTTTTATTTATTTTATTATTTATTAGTATTTATTTATTATTTATTATTATTTTTATTTATTATTATTATTATTATTTTATTTCATTTATTTAAATTTATTTAATTTAAAATTTAAATAATAAATAAAAATTTACATTGATAATCGAGGAACTGAGGGATCCCATGCAAAACTCAAACTTTATGAACGTCTATATAAAGTGATTACTCAACATATAAACTGATACTACTCTTAACTCGAGTCAAGAAATTAAAAAAGAATTGTTGAGAAAATAAATATGAAGTGATTTAAATATTGTGATTAAGTAATAAAATTATTTTTCAGGCTTTTTGGTTTGAACTATATGCCCGCCTTTAATCGCTTTACGTAAGAATTTTCTTTAATTTTCTGGATAAAATCGCACATATTTTCAGTATAATTTTTTAGTAAAAAATTATCACAAAAATTTCGTTTTTATCCGAAAAGCAAGGCTGTACTTTAGTATATTTTATTAAAATTTTAGCCAAACAAAGCTTGATATTGCAAGTGGAAAAATACTTGTACTCGGTATTTGTACTTACTTACCGGCTAAGCCCAATGCATTAGATAGATTACAACTGGTCAAGCAAGGAATGAAGGAATATTATTCAGAGGATCCCATAACGATTGGTGTATGTATAAAATTATATGTCAAATTTTGAATAAATTTTTCTTTTAATTATAAATATTATTTGATTTAATATTATATGATTTAAATTTAATTAAATTTAAATAAAAACTTTTTAGATTTGTAATAGTTTTTTATTAAGTTGACAACAGGGTAGTTAAAAATATTCCTCCGGTTATTAGCTTTTGATTTATTATACATATTAACAATCCTTGAACTGTCGCTTACTTTCTTTTTCTTTTTCTTTTATCTTTCATAAATCTTTTCACACTTAGTAATTACTAACATTTTTCTATTATGTGGGAAAATATTTTTTTCTAAAAAGCCTTTTTAACTTCTTATGAAAATAAAATATTATAAATATTTTTTACTTATTAAAAAGACTTTTTTTAATAAAATTGTAAAATAATTTTTTAATATTTCGATCATTTAGGTAATCTTGTCTCATTCCTAAAAATTGAAAATTTTTTTAAAATATTTAAAATAAATGTAAGAATAATTTTATAGATCTATGTGCATTTAGCATTATTTCATACCCTATTCTCGCTTATTATTGAATTTGTGGCTAACTTTGTGTTTCAATTTTATTGGAACCCAAATTTTCTTTATTTTTCCTTCTTTTCTTAAATGGATTACAAATGATTAATACATATTAAGATTGGCAGAGTCGGATTTGATAAAAGACCGGATACCCAGAAAATTACGGGTTGGATATTGTATCTGAATATTCGAAGTCTGCCAATTTATTAAGATTGAACTTTGCTCCATATCTTTTTAATTTTGTATTTTATATTTTCTCTTTTTGATCAGATATAAAATTAAAATTAATTTACAAAAGAATTTTCACTTTTATTTTGTTTCCTCTTCTTCATTTATATTTTTGTTAATTGTTATCTTATTTTTTATAAAAATTTTATAAATTATACTTTATTTTAAAGTATTTTTTGTTAATTTTCTAATATTAATTTAATTATTTAATATAAATTTAAAGTTTTTTTTATTTAAAATCATATTAGATTATTTTTTATTATTTTTATTTATTTTATTATTTATTATTATTTATTTATTATTTATTATTATTTTTATTTATTATTATTATTATTATTATTATTATTATATTTATTATTATTATTTATTATTATTATTTTATTTATTATTTATTAATTTATTTAATTTATTTAAATTTATTTAATTTAATTTAAAATTTAAATAATAAATAAAAATTTACATTGATAATCGAGGAACGGAGGGATCCCATGCAAAACTCAAACTATGAACGTCTATATAAAGTGATTACTCAACATATAAACTATGATACTACTCTTACCTCGAGTCAAGAAATTAAAAAAGAATTGTTGAGAAAATGAATATTTTGCTTTTTGGTTTGAACTATATGCCCGACTTTAATCGTTTTACCCGCACAGAGCTTGACATTGCAAGTGGAAAAATACTTGTACTCGGTGCTTGTATTTACTCACCGGCTGAGCCCCCACTGAAAGAAATTAGTCTTTCTAAGCTACAACAAATACCAGAAGATAAGTATTTGTTGCGAAACCAATTAACCTTCTAATTAATTCCCAATTTTAATACAAATTGAAAACAATTTCCAAAGATTTATTTAAAAATATATTAATTTTATAATTTTACAAAGAAGAATGAAGAACTTAAGAGAGAGCTTATAAGAACTGATATTGTTATAAGATAGGAGATTTTATACAAACATAAAAGGTGTATATTTTAAGAGAGAGAAGAGAGGAAATGCTCGGGAAAGAGCAAAGTAACTAATTGTGTAATGTTTGGGAAAAAATTATATTAAAAATTAATAAAAATATAAATAAATAAAATTAATAAAATAAATAAATTTTATTTATATATTTTCCCTCCTTTTCACGACATCCGAATATCCGTGTCCGCCAACCTTAGTGAGATATAGTAGGTGCATAGTATAGTTAGGGGAGGACAAACGTAAACACATAAATGAGACTAATACACAAATAAGGGTTTCTCGAACCAGGCTTTTTTTGACCCGAACCCAACCCGATATCTTCTTAACCCATGACAGTTATACATAAATGAGATCCGACTTAACAATTTAAACATTAACAAAACATGCTAGTAAATTAGATACAGCCTTTCTTATAGGTTTAGGGCATATTTTAGTTGTTAAACTTGTTTTGTCTTTTGGTTCATCAAGTATACTTCTTATAGTTTTTTCTGGACTTTTTATAGTTTTTTCTGGACTTGAATTATTTCCGTTGAATAAATAATCAGAAAGTTTCTTTCTTTCTATCTGAAAATTAAAAATTTTTCAAAAGTTAAAATAGAGTCAGACCTCACTATAAATACCCCCTTAGGTCGGAAAATTTTTTGATTAACAATGGGGTGTATCTTAGATATTCCCTAACTAGTCTTATGTGGCCCAATTAATTTAACAAGCACCTTTTCTGTTGTCGGTACAATATTTTTCCCTCTTCTACTTCGTTGTTTTAACGATATATCTTTAATGCCCGATTCTTCCAATTTTTTATTCCACTCATCGTTAATTTGTTTAATTTCAATTTCCACACTTCCAAATTTTTTATATAAAGAATTAAAATTCCAATTTTTATCAGTTAATGTTTTAATTAATTTAATTTTATTTTTGATAAATCCAACTTGCTCTTCAAACCAGATTTTTGTGTTTAGATCGTGTTCGTTTTCTTCAATTATTTTTAAAAATTCTTTATTTTTGCCTTAAATTAAATTAAAAATTAATCGAGAGAATAATCGAGAGAATAATCGAGAGGAATTAATCGAGAGAATACGGTACCTCTCATTATAAGGTACATTATTTTCAGCTTCAAGGGTATTTTATACTGACTGACGTTTTTTAAATAACAAAACTTGCGGACATAACTTGCGGATTTATTTATCTTGCAGACAAACATTGCGGATTTATTTTTCTTAATGATAAAACTTGCGGACAAAATTTGCGACTTGCGGATTTTTTCCTGCGGACAGAACTGTTAGAACAATCTGCGGATAAAACTTGCGGACTTTCTGTGAGCGTAAAATAAATTTATTTAAAAATACTTGTATATTCACTTGATAATTTTTCTGCCTCATTTTCCCACTTTTCCAAATAATTTTTAGTTCTCTCCAAATCCTCCAAATATTTTTTATTTTCAATTTTTTTCAAAGGAGGATTACAAAATTTATTTATTGTTTCCTTTGTTTCCCCCAAAATAATTTCATTTTTAAAAAATATATTTGTCCAAAGAATTAAATAATATTTTTGTGTTGTCAACCCTTTTGGCTCAATTTCTTTGTAAAAATCTTCTTTGTTTTTAATATAGATTTTATCGTTTAACAAATAAATTAATGTTTTGTTGTTCGGAAATGGGGGATTTTTGTCATTTGATCTTTAAATTTAAGATTAATTTTGTTTTTTTTGCGGACTTTTTTGGGGGCTTATTTTTGCGGACATTTCTTGCGGAATATTTTTGCGGACTTTTACTGTTATTTTTTGGAGGCTTATTTTTCGGACTTATTTTTGTGGACTTTTCTTGTGGACATTTATTGCGGACATTTTTCTTGCGGACTTATTTTTGCGGACATATTTTGCGGATTATCTTTTGGATTTTTTGCGGATTTTCTTAATAGACTTATATTTGCGGACTTTCCTATTTAACTTTTTAAATTTTACAAAAATGCCGTAGTTGCTTTTCGCATCCATCCAAGCAGATTCCTTGGCTGAGTTTTTGGCAATTTAGCCAATTCATTAAATTTGTTTTGCCAATCATTATTATCCCCAAAACATTTATTTATAAATTTTATATTTTTAATTCTTTCCAAATTTAACGGAACAGTTAAATCTTGATGAAATTCTAAGTAAACTTCCTCAAAATATTTTATCAAATTTTCTATATTTTCTCCATAGTTAATGCTTCCAATCATTAATTTTGGTCGAATTGGAGTTTTTTCCAAAAAATCTAAAGGGAGAAAGAAACCTTAAAAAATAAAGTTTAATTCTGACATAACGCGAACGACGTTTGTGGAAGTCTGACCATTTTGAACCCAATAGAGGTTTTTAGTTGGTGTGTAATTGGGAAAGTGTTTTGTCTCGGCACGAGGCATTATAGTCTTGAACCGTAATTTTTATCCTAAAGATTGGGGTAAGAGTGGGATTGGGGTTTGAGTAAGTTTGGGGTTTGGGTCAGATGTGGGTTGGAGCAGCTTGGGGTCGCATACATCTAGTTTAAAAAGAGACATTACTTAAGATGGTTTTGGATAAATATAAAAGTCACTCTGGTTGGATCACAGCTGAGAAAGATATAGGCCATTCTGATGGCCTCAAATGTCTAATTCAAGCCCCGACTAATTAAGAAAATTTTTAATTTACTTTCATTTTCCTCATCAGGTAAATTCCCTTCCAAATAGTAAACAACGTCTAAGTACGCAAATAAATAATTTGCAGCTTTTTCCATTTCCTCACAGGATGAAATATAATAATCCTTATCAAGGTCTTTAAATCCCTTCAAATTTTTCTTCTTACTATTCCCACTATTATTCTCCTTTCTTCTCTTTTCTAACCTTTTCTTAGCTAAACCCCAATATTTTGTACATTCCCAATTTTTAAAAAATTCTTTAATAATATTATTTTTATAAAATATTTCAAATATTCTTGATTTTTTAACATCTTCATCTTCAATATTTTTATTGTATTGAGTCTCTGTTTCACTCCCTCTCCTTTCTAAATTTAGGTAATATTTGAAAGTTTGCCTTTTTCATGTTTTATTCCTCTGACCATTTTAACCTTTTCCTTCCCTTTATCCATACTCAGGCAAATGTCAAAAGGATTACATCGTTCGGTAGCTCATTATGGATAATGAGGTCCTGTCCTTCAACTTCCCTCAACTCAACTATCACTCAACTATAACCATTCTCCCTCAACCCTACAGGGTTGAAAGTTTCGAGAAAGGGTTTGTTTGAGCTGTGCCTTCTGGGTTGGAGAGGGAGGAGGGGGCGGGGTTTGGCCTTTGGGTTCTGGATTAAATAGGTGCTTTATCCACCCCTACCCCCAACCATTAAAATCGACTTATAACGTTCCGCACCAAAATTCTATGATTTGTGAGGAAAATCTGTAAATAATAGTAGGAAATAAGCTCAAAATGGTCAGGAAATAGAAAAAAGGGGGCGACTTCCAAATATTACCTAAAATCATTTTACGAATTACATTAAATTTTTTATTTTCTTTTTCATAAAGAAAATCAATTGAAGATATTTTTAGCATTTTTCTAGACGCCTCTTTTAATTTTGAAGCAAACTCTGTGTAATAATAGGAAGGATGTTTTGTTTTATTTTTTGTATATTTTTGTGATTCTTTTTCCAATAAATCGCTTATTGTTTCCAATTTTTCTTTTTGTTCTTGTTGTCTTTTTATTTCGATTAGTCTTTTAGTTGCAGCTTTATTAAAAATATAATAAAAAAATAATTTTTAAATCAAACAGTTCTTTTGTGCGTCCAAAAAGCTCGCAGGCTTCACTTCCTTTCAATTTACGGTATTTATACCTTTGGGAAGACAATAGACACTGATAGGCATAACGGTTTATCTACAGTTTTTGATGTTCTTTCGAATGAGCGAATTACAGATTTGAAGCTTATCATCTAATAGAATGTTCTTTTGGAAAGAATGGCCATCCATTTTATAAGGGATAATGTCGTATATACTTTTTGAATTCGTTGCGTTCACATGCTCCAGCTTCTTTATGACAAAAATACATACCCCTTATTAATCAAATTACAGTGTAGAGCTTATCTTTCGATTATTGTAACTTGTGGAAAACGTCTAGAAAAAACTCGGGTCAATCGGTACACGTTAGAGGTCCATTATTTAAGGACAAGACTTTCGAGCTTTTTGCTACACAAATAAAAAGAACCCTAAAAAAGCTTTTACTACCATCTAAAGCCTCTCTGTTAATTTCTCTATCTTTCTTTTTTAAATCTCTCTCCTTTTCTAAAACATGTTGATAATTAGACTTCCAAACAATCCTTTCTTCCCATTCAATCAAAACTTTTTTAAATTCCGTCCAGTCTTTTTTAAACTTAAAAAATTTTGTTTAAAATCTTTTTTTACCTAACCTGAAATTTTGCCTTTTCTCTTTTTTCTAAATAATCTGGACTTTGTGGAGTATCTGGACTTTGTGGAGCCTCGTCGTCATCTACCACTTCAATCTCTGTTACTCTTCGAAATGGCAAAAATCTTCCGTTATATTCCTCTTCCTTTTCAATTTCTGTAACTCTTCCTCCTCCTCTTCTATATCTTCCTCTTCTTCTTAACCCTTCTTCCTCCTCTTCTATATCATCCTCTTCTTCGATCTCTGAAAATCCTCTTCCATCATGTTCTTCCCTTACTTCCTTTATTTCTTCCTCTATTTCGGAAACTCTTCCTCTTCCACTATTTTCATCACCCACTTCTTCAATTTCGGAAACTCCTCCTCTGCTATATCCATTCTTCACTTCTTCAATTTCAGTGTAGCTTTCCCTTCCATCATGTTCTTCCCTTACTTCCTCCATTTCCTCTATTTCAGAAACTCTTCCTCTTCCACCATTTTCATCACCCACTTCTTCAATTTCGGAAACTCCTCCTCTGTTATATCCATCCTTCACTCCTTCAATTTCAGTGTAGCTTTCCCTTCCATCATTTTCATTTCTTACTTCAATCTCTTCAATCTCTGAAGGCCCGTCTTTCCTATCTTTTTTATCCTTCATCTCTTCAATTTCACTTGTTGCTCCAAATATTTTCTTTATTCTATCTTCCTCCTCTTTCACAATTCTCTTCCCTTTCCTCTCAATTTCACTCTTCTCTTTCTTTTCTCTTTCATCATCAAAATTTAATTTTAATCGTTTCCGTCTGTTTTCCTCCTCTTCTTCCAATTTTACCATTTTTTGAGAACTTTCTTCAGCATTAAAACTTTTCCTCTTTAACATTTCTTTTCTTTGAGGGCTCTCTCTTAACGATCCATCACTTAAACTTTTAACCAGAGATTTTCTAGAATATTTATTTGCCGATCCTTCTTCTTTGTCGCTTTCACTTTCTTCACCAAACACTCCTTTAAGTGAGGCAGAATCAATTTGGACTGATTCGGCATTGGACACACTACCTTCCAAGGTTTCTGAAACTCCTTGTTTTTCGTCAACACTCAAAATTGGGTGGAAATAAATTAGAAAAATATAAAATAAAGGCAAAAATAATTCTTTTAATTTCATAATCTAAAAAAATAAAATTTTGGCATTTTGTTTAAAAAAGGAGTGTTGTTTCTGCGCACTTTTTTAGTATAAAAGCGCTTACTTTATTCACTCTCTTCTCATTTATTTTACAATAACCAGTGTTTGGAAGTCGTAAAGAATTCGTATTCGTACTCTTATCTACATATTACAAGGAAAAGTTGGAAAGGTGAGTGCAAATTTTAAATTGCTGAACACTGACATTGTCTAACTTTTCTGATTTTTTAGGTGCTAGAAACGGCTGTTTAACTTAACAGAAGGATTTCAACAGTGACTTAGAGGTCTTGGAATGATTAGCAAAAAAGAAAACAATGTGACTGTGCTAAATACAGAAATATTGCATAGACTTATTAAATACTAAATAATACAAATTGAATTTAAACAATAATAAACAGAATTTATTGTATAAAATAAAATTTATTGACTAAATGGCAATTATCCACTATCCATTTAATCACTCTTGATTTTTTTCTCTCTTGCTTTTAATCACTTGTTATTTTTTTAATTTTCTCTAGACTTCTTTCATAATATTGAGAAATATGTCCACGTGTATTGCCCCAATAAGTCTGTCGGAATCCTTTTGTAAACAGAAAATTAAAGGGGCTTGGAAAATAAAATTAATGAGATTGAGTTTAAACATGTTGAGATTATCGCCTCATTTTGGTGTTCAGAATCGGCCATCCTGATCCAGAAACTCATCCTTCACTAGTAAAATCCGTTCTTCACACCCCTCGTATCGTTATTGACAACTCACCAGGGTATTGTTGATCATATGAGACTAGGGTAATGTTGGCATTTCTTCTTTTTTGGTTGGCGGGTTTTGTTGATTACTTGAGACTAGGGTAATGCTGGCATTTCTTCTTTGGTTGGCATTTCCGAGTGGTTCTGTGCTTTGCGCCTGTCTTTTGCGCCACGACTTTTCCGCTGTTGACCTTTGCGTCGGCGCACCTTCCGAGTTACCGTATATGCTCTAATAATTACCCTGGGTAATTATTGTTTCGACCTCTCGCTGGAGGGAGTAATTAATAGAGCGGGGGTAATTATTTGAGAGAGGGCAATTATTGTTTCGACCTGTGTATGCTTTTGTTTTTGATAAACATGTGTAAAGGAATTTACACAATATGTATATTACCGAATGCGGCGATAAATGTTCAAGTTTCTATTATTATCCATATTCCCTTAATATATTCCGAAATAATGTAGCCAAAAATGGTAATATGACACAAATGCTTCCGTCCTGGGATATATAAAAACACCATGGGTGTATACACATTTGTATGATTCCTAGTTAAGGAATATAATTTATATTCCATTAATATATTCCGATATAATGTACTCTAAAGTGGTAGATATCAGCAATATTTCTATCTTGG